GTGTTTTTCAAGGCCAATGGTTTATCCTGGCTTGGTAATTTTCCCTTGTTTTCTCTCTCCCAATAGAGTTTGGAGTACTGCAGAGTTAATGCTCTCAGCTCCTAGGTGGGAAAATGCAATAACCTCTTCAGCCAATTCCAAGATCAGGTTGGTGAACTATGGCATTTTTTCTAGTCCATATTTCTGGGAACAGTGCTTGTAAGGCAAGGCCCTGAGAGTGGGTTGGGATAGAGAAAACTGAGAGGAAAGTAGAACATTTACTAGGAAGAACAAATATTTAGAACCCTGCAAATTTGCGGATATCCATGGCTCAGTTTTGCAGATATGGATGCGGATGAGGATACAAATTTTGGATCTAGAACCAAGCAAATTTGTGGATACTTTATACCGATAGGTACCCACATCTGCGGGATGCTGTTGCAAATATCTGCGGATCATTTTTGCAGATGCAGATGCAGATATCAATTTTGTATCTGCATAGGGCTCTATAATCACCCATCACCATTAAAACAGCATTGCTGGATGATATAACTAGACTTTTCTGTGATGATGACATATGCTGTGGAGTACTGTGGAAACCACAGAAAAGCCCCTTTTAGATGGGTGACCAACTAAACAGAGAGAATCTGCATTTTGCCTATAAGACAACATAGGGATCTAAGAGTTAGGAATTGTAGTTGAATGCCCAACTCCTTTAGCTGCCCATCAAAGCCCTAGCTGTAGTTGTCAGTTATTCTGTTATATGGTGTAACTGGTGTATGAGATTGATGTTTTCCAACTGGTTTAGATTCTCTGCCTTTTACCCCACTACTTTTGTTAAATTCGGTCACAAAAGGATGTCATGTTAATGAGAACACTAAATGGCTTTAATGCATAGTACATATGATTTGATCTCAAACTATCAGTGGCACTACAGACAGGAAAGTCATTATTCCCCACAGTATCATCCCATAGACATTTAATTGCAGAGCAAAACCAGACTGTAGGTAGAGAACATGCTTTGAAACCAAAGTGAGTCTGTGAATGGTGCAATGTAACCTTTTGGTTATGTTCTCTGGAATGTAAAACTGTTCAATATTTCTACATTTCTATATACCAAATATACTAGTTCCATTCAGGAAAGAATGCTCTTAATATATGGTCATGGATTAAGAGAGAAAGGAACTTTCCAAGTAAAACAACATTCCAAGATAACATCAAGTGACCTCTAACACAACCCATTTCTTCTATGAAACTCACAGAAGCTAAACTGCTTCAACAAAGATGCTGTTACTCCATTCTGCTATCAAAATGTAAATAAAAATGTACGAAGACCTTGATCCTGCAAAATGATGAGCATTCTGGCCCCAATCCAGGAAAGCACTTAAGTATGTGCTTAATATTAATCACGCGAATAGTCCATATGAACCAAATGAGACTATATGTCTAAAATTAAGCAAGTGCTTAAGTGCTTTGCTGGACTAGGGCCAGTGTGCTCCGCTCCTTGCAGGATCAAGCCCTAAGGGCCCAATCCTATTCCAGTTGTATTCTGTGGTAAAACTGTGGTAAAACTCCCCTTCACTTCAATGGAAGTAGGATCTACCCCTCAGGCAGAACTTTCCTCTTTGGTCTTCCAGTGCAATTTGTGATATCTGCCTCTTCAGATAGTTGCTCAAATGCTACAGAGACTAACAATATATAAACAAAACAAAAAAATAGATACCTTTCATGCTCCTCTGAGTGGCAGGTATCATGTCTTATTCCTGCAAGGTGGCAGTCCCTGTTTTGGTATTTAAATAATATATGGATAATTACTTGGATGTATAAAATATTTAAAGGGTGCCCAGCCAACACTCTGGGCCCCTTTACATATTTTTATAATGATCATCCTATCAAATTAATGTGCATCAGCAGACACTATAATAAAACAGCTCCCCTACACAGATGACAAACAACACCCTAGCCCATGTGCACTTCAGCTCACTCATCCTGAAATGCCTAATTAAAGTAGAAGGCCTTTGTCAGGCTGCCCGAAGGTTAAGAAAGTTGGAATCTGTATCAGGAAGAAGGAAATCCCAATGCTGAGAATTCATCTTGGGAAATCTACTACCAAAAATGCATTGTGTTTATATGAAGATAATCTCACATAAAGTATTTCTGATGGATATTGGTAGTATGGCACAGGAGATTAGGTGGTCACAGCAGTAAGAAAATACCAAATCATTTGTTGTCTAGTTATATCCACTAATCTTTTGAATTCCACCCAGAGACCTGCTGACTGTCAGTGACAAAGATCACAGATGTAATGTGCCCCAGCAATGAATTCTGCTTTATAAAACACCGCCAGTAGTTATAATATGTAGTCCCAGAGAATGCATTACAGCTGGACAAAGCTAAGATGATGAAAGCATGGGCCAAAATCTGCTCTGAAAAATTAGTCAGAAAAAAATTTCATGATACAAAAACTTCATTTTTTGCACAAATTTCCATACCTCTTTCCAATATTTTTCATATTTTTATATTAAAGTACTCTTGGTAATGTTTTTGAAAAAGAACATTCCAATATGGGCATTCCAATATGTGTGCATGCGCGCTGCATGCACAATTGTCAGAAGATTTTCCCTAGCAGTACCCATCAGGTTGACTGCAGCACCCCTGGAGAGAGACCTTAACCTCCTTAAACTATGCACCAGGAAGGAGCAAATCCCAAAGCTGAGAATTCCTCTTGGGAAGTCTACTACTGAAAATATTCACCATGTTTATACGGACTGAAATTCAAGTAAAGTATTTCTGATGATGTTTGGTAAACTCCTCCTGTTGGAATCAGCACTCCAGCCACAGTCCCAGGATGCGGCTTCCACTCCCTTGGGGTGCAGCTCACTGGCCTCAGTGTGGGAGGCCTCGGCACGTTGAAAGGAGGGATTGTCAGCACTGGCCCCCTTTACATGGGATGGGCTCATCCATGTGGCATCTCTCTCACTCCCCAGGGCTCAAGAAGAAGAAGAGGACTGATTGGGATCGTTCTTCCTCCAGAAGGCTGAGCAATGCCCCGGAGGTTGCCCATACTGTGCTCAGCCTGACTAGGCTAAGCATGTTGGCCCAGGTACCATTGACTCCAGCACCCTGGTTGGGACCATTGAGTCCGGTGTCAGTGGTCTTTCTGGAGCCAGTATGGTAGAAGAGGACTTGGACCTTCTCTCCCCACACCAGAACTTTTGAGGCCACTCGGGACCTCATTGAGTTTATGGCACTGGCTCCATTTGAGTTGCAGATTCCCCTGCTGGTGGTGCCAGTGGCACTGCCTCCTGGACTAACCCTGGCACCGCTGTCTATTTCTTCCACCCTGACATCTGTGGCGCTATAGACAGTTGTGCCTCTGGCATGGATACTTAGGTCTGAGGCACCATTTGCAGCATGCCCTATGGCTCCTCCCGTGGCTTTAGCTGGGTGCAAGTCTTCCCATAACTGGACAATTGGCATATCAAGGGCAGGCCATGGCACCAGGTGCTCAGGCACATGGAACTGGTCAAGGCCACATTCTCCCAATAGAACCCAAAGTCCACCCTCATTCCCACTCAATGCATTGAGTTTATTGGGGCCCTCCTTGATTCTACTCAAACAACACCTCTCTGCTTGAGGCCCAGTTCCAGATGTTAGCAGGAATTATTGCTGAGCTTCATCAAAATATGACCACCATAATGAGCAGGGCTTGATGAACGGTGGCGAAAACCGCTCGCCAGCCCCGTACTGCAAGAGCCGCATGCGCGCGCCGCGAATGAACTGGGCGCGCGGCTGAAATTTACTTGCCATAGGCGAGTAGATTGTATTCTTTGTCAAGCCCTGGTAATGAGCAACCATGAGATTCCCAGGTCACATGGTGTCTTGCAGCCATGTCCTTCATCATGCTTAACTCTGCCTTCACCCGCTACAAGCATGGGTGATGTCGATGTTTCAGACCTTTCAGGATTCTCTTGTTTGGCTAGTCATTCCACCTCAGGCAAGCTTAGACTGGATCAACTGGTGTCACATCGGCTGGGGTATATATATGAGGCCATGAGGCACCACTATAGGAAACATACAGCTGACTCGATGGGCACCACTAGGGAAAATTTTCCGACAATCGTGCATGTGGTGTGCACATGCACACATACTGGAATGCATATGTTGAAATGGACATGAGCAACACATCTCAAAGAACAACAGTTATGAAAAGTATGTAACAATTTTTTACTTTATAGCACTTCAATCCAAAAACAACTGTTGCATTTTTCATAAAAGTGGGTTGACATTTTTCAGTCTGCTCCAGTTACCTTCTTCCTTCCAGGTGCAAATGGAGGAAGAGCTACTTGGAGACAGCAGATATCTGAGTATCAAGGTGTAGCTAAGGATCTAATTAATAATACAGCTATATTGTCCATCTATATTATATGTGGAGGTTGCACTCCTTTAACAGTGCAAGTTTAGTATTCAGCTGGTTTAAAATGCATTAAAGTCAAATGCAGCTACGCTGATTTACAACAGTTGAGGATCTGGATCTTCATTAACCCTTCCATTGCTTATCCCAACTATGTCATTCTATTCTTACTCACGTGAGTTGCAGCATGTAGTCTGTGTCCAAACACTAAGCTCATTTGGACATGAGGCCATTTCCACTTCACCAGTTGCATCATTAGGTGTGTGTCACAAATACTATGGAATAATCAATATTCTAATATTTTGAATACAATAATGTTTATCAAATTTCTCTGGTAATTTGGTATTGTTTTTGAAGGAGCCCTCCACACCAGAGTTCAAACAACTGAAGATAGGTCATCTTCCATCCTGACTTTGTTTTAGGAATAGTTTCTGTTCTCCCATCACTTCTATTAAGATCAATCTTTCTGTCTTCAGGAGACTTTGAAATCCATAAGCAGCAAATACTTTCCTGCCAGTCACATCCTTATATATTTGTATGTGCTATAAAATGTACCGTAACCAGAAAAATCTCTATATGACCCTCCATTCCAGAGACAAAGTGTTACCTGGGCTTCCTCTCCCTTATGATCTGCTGGGGCTTTTCATTAATTCAGTGAGCAGCTGTTGACCTAAGACAACTGAAAAAGCAACAACACCTGTAACTATATAAGTGTCAGTCAGTATTATTCAAAGAGAAGCTAGACACTTAGTAGGAGCTATTGTCTCTTGATACTAGCTACTTTATACACCTTCTCAATTAAACATGGAGAAGGAGGCATCCTCTGGCCTGGATATATATATATAAGCTGACTAATGAGAGGTGAAAAGACAGGCTAGTTTGTGAAAACTGATGAGGAATCTTTCTCTCTTCCCTTCACTCCCCAGCCTAACACTATAGCTAACTGCCTCATTCGGAAACAGCCTCTGCTAAATTGCCTGATGGAACTCTCCATGAATGTACATATTCACACACTAGCACCAGTCCTCACTGAACTTTGGAAAGGCATCTACTCTGGAATGACAGTGGCTCACTGCGGCTGAAGGAAAGTCAAGGAAAAGAAAGAACTGAGAGGTTTGATCCAATAGTAAACGACAGAAGGATTCCAGGAAACAAAGATACCATGTGGGAACTATTACTATGATGAGGGGATAGATAGTGGATATACCACTTCTCTGCCCCAAGTCTCAAATTTGCCACCACAGATTCTTTAGCTGATAGTAGTTAAACCTATACTCATACATGTTTCTTTAATAAAGCAATTATATACATGGCGGAAGGGAAAGGCTTTTTTTGTTGTTGAAATTTCTGATTAATTATACTGGGAAATGTTTCGAAAGCCTAAATTAAATAATGTGGATGCTGCAAGAAAATCAGACAACCTAGTGGTGGCTATAAGCTAAAAATATATTACAAGATAAAGGATATGGCACATTTTACCTGTGGAATGTGAATAATGCAATAACTACTTCCAGTGCTGAAGAGGAACATATAGGAAACCAAGAAACTGCGTCATTTGCATTGTAGTACCATGTCTGAAATTGTCAGATAGTTGCATTCCCATGTGCATGCATCCTAGGTATGCAAGTAGTTTACATACCGAAGCATTGTGTATATAAGGGTGCTCTTCCCTTATGTTCTTATAAGCTCTGTGTGTCACTGTGCCTCTCTAAGACAAAATGCTTTCCAGTGCTCATGTAACAGCATGGCTAAAAGCTCCGTGTGTAACAAGAACTTTATTTACAGGGTGGTAATATTCTATTGTTATCTTTCATGTCCACCTGTGAAAGTTTTCCTTGGCTTGCTACTCAAGTTCTGATTTACTCAGCAACTGGGCGAGTTCATCAGCATGTGCCACATTGAGCATCTGAATGTGGAGCGAACACAATGAAACAGCTGATGCGCTGATCCCCACGTATCCTGTCACTTTTTAGAAACCATTGGCAAGGAAACATGCACTGGAAACATTTTCTTGTTGCTGGTAAGCATGGTCTCATCTGGTGCTGCTCTCCAGATGGATCTTCAACATGTCAAACTAGTCAAACACTGTTCTTTAAATGAGACAAAAATGTTTCATGCCCAGAAATGAGTGCAAACACTAAATCCATTTTCCTGTGTTCCTGTCGCTCCTCACTTCCTAACTACTGAATGTATTCATGAGTCTCTAAGCACATCTTTGTCGACTGACTGTGTTCTCCTACTAAGACATAACCATTGTAAAGTGTTATAACCTGTATGTTAAGCATAGTACCTGTGAAGGGTTTGGATTTGAAGGAATGTTGGCAAATAGATGCTAGGTGAGAACACAAATAATTCTATAAGGTTTTACAAGGAGTTATAGAGATATTGGACATTATATGCCATGTGTTCCCATCTTTCCACTGTCTATACAAGGAACTATATCCAGGCCCAGGTCATGGGAAAGGAAAGTGGGAGATTCCATTCTTTCTTTGTTGTTGGATTTTGTGTTGAGAAGGTATCTTTAAATTCAGGTAGTAGAAATGTTTTGTTCTTCTTTTCTTATCTGTTCTTAATGTAGAAATGTCCAGCAATTGTATGCACCCTCTTTAACTGAGCAAAGTCCGCAGCTTATTTCCCTCAGCAGACCAAAGAGAAAAAAAAACACATTCAGCATGGGCCACTTGCAGATTTTTACCTCACTTATAGACCTTTTACACTAGTATGCCTCCATTAACTTTTCATAACCAGTATGAGAAATGGACTTATGGACATACATGTACATAACTCAAAGGGGCTTTGAGCAAATTATTTCATGCAAGCTATCAATCTTTGTCATAATCTGCTGGTTCTGTTATCTTATTTTGGTGTATGTATCACACTTACATAAAATTAGACATGTGGAGTAGGGAATATTGTATGATTTATAAATGTGTAAATGGAAAGTCATAAAGGGTAATTCTACTGCTGGGAGGCCTCAATGTCTGAGCTGTCATATGCAAATAGCCTGTTGTCCTTAAGTCTTAGCAGTGGCTGGTAGGGAGCAGCCAGGTCACTCCCCATGCAATAGGGGAATTCTTTAAAAAAAAATAGGAAGGTAGGAGTCTTTTGTCTTTGGCTGGCTGGATATACCCAAGGAGGGTGAACCAGAGACCCCAGTGGAAGGGAGATGACTCTCGTTTGAAGATGCAGCTGGAACAGAAACAGTCTTAGGGTGAGTTTGTAATATGTTTGTGCTGAGGAGTTTAGTGTTAGAATTCGCTAAGCATTTTTTGTTTTGATTTGTAATCTACTTTGCTCTGCCTGTTCTCTCTTATTACCACTTAAATCCTACTGCTTGTATTTAATAAAATCACTTTTACTTACTATCAAGCCCTGTGTAAACAATTATTACCCGGGGGAGCAGTCAGTATGCACATTCCCCCTTTCATTGTTAAAGGGGGCTTACCCAAGTAATTCATTGGGGGCTGATCCCATTTGTGGAGTGGTATCGCAGGAAGATGCACCCTAAACTGAGACTCCTTGGACCTGAAGAGATTCAATGTCTGTACTGCTTCTTGGGAGGACAGAATTCTGCACCACTGTGACAGGGTGAGGTCACAGAAGACCCCTTGGGGAGGGGGCTTTCAGGAGTGCTGACATGGCCATTGGCACTCTACTTCCTGCTCCCTGGAGCTTTTCACCACTCGGTCCTGCTGAGCCAGCTTGGCTGGTCTCCCACAGCGGAGGCACCAAGCTGAGGTCACTTCCCCACCACCAGAAGCAGTAGATATGCTATTTGCGTATAGTTGCCCAGACATGGAGGTCTCCCAGCAGTAGAATTACCCTTGATGGCTTTCCATTGACACATTTAAAAATCATACGTATTCCCGTCTACACGTATCTAATTTCACACACAAGAGTGATACATACACCAAAATAAGATAGACAGATAGGGGTCCATCACAAGGATTATGGTAGGAACTTGAAGCTTTTTACTTACAATGTTTTACTTCATCAAGGAATGAACCATTTGGCGTGAGAGAGCAATTACAATAGTGATTATTAATATTTTCTTCATGGTTTGTATTACAGTTGCACTCATAAAATGCTTCGTGCTTTCCAAATGATATGAAGAGACAATCCCTGCTCAGGAAATTTACACTTTAAATAGATACTATGACAGAAAAAAGAAAACATTGAAGCACAATGTTAAAGGCACATGTCTTCTTAGTTCCTTAACATTTTTCTCCCCCAAGCCACTGCCCTTCACCTTACTTTTTCTTCTAACCAGGTGTTTTAGTCAGTATGCTCTACCATTGTTTACCTGATGTGACCAATAAAATCAGGCATTGTGTGAAGGGGAAAAAACCAAACAGCCAGTCCACCTCATGGATGGTTTTCTTCCCTTCCCTTCTCTTCCCTTCCCTTCCCTTCCCTTCCCTTCCCTTCCCTTCCCTTCTACTATCTGTTGGATAGGAGAAGGGTCCAAATGCCACAGCATTATGATGATTGCTACTCCTGCCCCTATCCCAATTCATATATGGATTTAGGAGGAAAGCTTGAAAAGAAACTCTAATACTTAGTTACAAGAAAGGAGAAGGCAATCTGGTGCAGTACATGGAATGAATGTTTTGTAGAATATGTTAAAAGTTACAAAAGCTTATTATGAAGCAGACTGAAGTGTTTTGGAATAGTGGAGGGAGCTAAGTCATCTTAATTATGTACATATTTAGATTAATTAAACCACCAAATTGTTTTATACCTGAAATATCGGGGATAGGGAACAAAGGGTCATTTGAATATTATCAACAGAGAACTTTAGTGTGTTCATATACTGTTGAAGACTTTTATATGGCATTGTGTCTGTTGAAGCTCATGCATACATGTGCTAATAAGATGTAGTTTCACAGAGGGCCTGGGATAGAATTGTGTTTTTATGTTATCTTTTATTGGAAGAAAAATTATGCATGCAATCAAACCCTATAAAATATTACAAAAACCCAATACTTATATTAAGTAGCTTTGCCTTGCACCCATATGAGATTTCTCTAGCAATACTGTGTAATGGTCTCAGTCAGGGAATTGCTTGTATTTGTAAACAGTAACCATTTCTTGGTTGTCCTAGAAAGGTAAAATGCAAAGGTGTAATCTGCTGGCCAATGTATTTAAATTTACTAAAACTCACTCATGTATAAAAAGATCTGTTAAAAAGTGTATTTGATCCATCACTCACACATGACCTGTAAAATAATAAATAACCTAATAGATACAATGCCATATGACAAATTTGAAAGCCCTTTCAGTTAATCTCTATCTTGATGAGACACTAATCTATCTTTTAAAACATTTTCAAAGATGTCCTCAAAGCCTTAGCAGAAATTAATACAGTAATTCATTGCATTTCAGACAGTTCAAAAAGCAAGAACACATTATCAATCGGTAATGCAGATATTTAGCTAACAAATGTAACAGGCAGTAGACATGGGACTAAATCCTGCTCACTTCCTTGACAGGAGCAGTTCAAAGAAGACACTGGACTAAGGCAAGAAATTTTATCTTACAGAACAATATAGTACATATGGTGAAAAAATAAAGTATTCATCTTGGACTTAAGCTTAGGGTTGCCAGTTGTCCAGTTTTTGACTGGGATTAGAGATGTGAAAGGTTAACTGGTTTTTGGTTAACCAGTAGGGGCTAGAGCAGCTCCTTGCCTGACACAGGGCTGCTCTGCAGCTCCCATTGTCCAGGGACATGGCCAATGGAAGCTCTGGAGCCTGCATTCCAAACGTCCTCCTGCACCTTGGAACTTCCAACCCAGAGCCCCCTCCCACATTCCAAAATCCTTGGCTCCAACCTAGAGTCTCCCCTGCACCCTAAACCCCTCATATCCAGGCTCACACCAGAGTCCACACTCCCAGCCAGAGTACTCTCACACACCCTTCATTCCAATCCCCCCCCCATGTCCCAGCCCAGATCACCCTCCTGCACCTTGAACCCTTCATTTCTGGTCCCACACCATAGCCTGCACTTCTGCCCCAGTCCAGAGCCCCCTCCATGTTCTGAACCCCTCAGCCCTAAACTGCAGTCTCCTTCTGCATCATAAACTCCTCAGCCCTGGTCCTAGCTCAGAATCTGCACTCCAAGCCCACAGTGCATATCCCCTCCCACAGCCAAATCCCCTGCCTCAGCCCAAAGCTTGTACCCACAGCTGAAGCTCTCACCCCCTCACTTCCTAATCCCCTGCTCTAGCCCAGTGAAAATGAGAGTGAATGAAGGTGGTGGAGATAGGTCCAGATTTACTCTTGTGGAAGCCTAGGCTATTACATTTTGTGGGGCCGCATAGGCTCTGGGGTGGGACCAAAAAGGAGTTCAGTGTGTGGGAAGGGGCTTCAGGTTGAGCCAGGAGGATGAGTGTGGGAAGGGGTGAGAACTGTGACTGGGAGATGCAGGCTCTAGGATGGGTTCTGACTGAGGCATTTGGGATGCACAAGGGGGCTCCATGCTGGGCACAAAGGGTTTGGAGTATGTGAGCAAGCTAAGGGCAGAAGGTTAGGGTGGGAATAAGGAGTCTGTGAGGGAGTTAGGGTGTGGGAAGGGATTTGGGGGGAGGGGCAGGGGGTCAGAGTGTGGGGCACTTACCTGTTGCAGAGGCAGCTCTCTTTCGATGGTGGTGGGGAACAAGTGACTCCGCACAGACCATGCTGCCCCATACTTGCCTGCAGGCACCGTCCTCTGCCATGATTCCCAGCCAATGGGAGCTGTAGGGGTGGAGCCTCCAGGCAAGTACAGCACGAGGACAGAGCTTCCCATCGCTTGTGGTGAGACAGCTCCAGCTTGGATAGGGTGGGGGGGGGTGAGGAATGGAAGTGTGTGGGGCTGTCCCCTCCCCACCACCACCAGGAAGAGCTGGCCCTGCACCCAGGGGCTTTAGTGGGTGCTGGACGACAGCCTCTAAAGCTCTTTTCTTAATCTGGCTCTGGGTGGAGAGTGAGTGACAGAGGGAAGGGGTATGGAGTGGGAAGGGGGGAGGGCCTTGGGTTTTTCGTTTTGTGCAATTAGAAAGTTGGTAACCCTACTTAACGTTCCATATAGTCTGTAGTTAGTGATGGGTGAATCTCAGTAAATGTTTATGTAGCACTTTGAATATATAAAAACTCTTCTATGGCACTCATCTTTGGAGTGGCTGTGTTCCTCACAATCATTAATAGATTTTATTTTCACAACGTCTCATTGAGGTGGAAAAGTACTATCCCCATTTTATAGATAAAGAACTGAGGTACAGGATAGCTAAGTGACTTGCCCAAGATTACACAGGAATGTGCTGGAGTCAGTTGAACCTAGGTCTCTTGAATCCTTATCCAGTATCCTATTCAGTTGACTATTCTGTTCAGTAATTGATGATCATATAATTATGAAAAGGTCCAAAAGAGTATAACTATACTAAAGTGTATGGCCCGTTTTCAGAGGCACTGAGAAGTCTTAATACTATTTGATATCCATAGAATCTGCAAGTGCTCATCACCTCTGAAAAATCAGGCCCTGGAGGTCCTTGCCTTACGCTTGCAGCCCAAAGACGTTCAAAAAAATTAGGAAAAGACTAGATGACAATTTTCAAATGTCAAAATAAAGCTATGAATTGATTCTTGTTTTATCAGAACTTCTATAGTTTATCCATCCCACCATCCCATATATTTCTCTAGTTAATAAAACTATTAACATGAGGACAGATAGCTGTGTTCAGCAGTGTCTTAAACAGGGCAATTGAGTTGGTATTTATGCAAGGAAAACCCAAGGTTTTGCAAATTGTCTTACAATTTATCATGTGAAGGTTTTATTTTTTCCAATGGATAGAAAGATTTCCATAAATATTACTAGCTCCAGGTACACCACATACTACACATTAGCCACTTGTAGTAGCTTTGGACACAGTTTGAAAAGAATTTTAAAGTTCTGTTGGTTTGTATTTTCCAAAACTTCTTTAGACTTTTTTTTTAGATTTTTGAGGACTGCATGGGTTCTAGGATTAGAATAAATTCTGCTATCTCAAACCTTTTGATTGAAATATTTAGGAATTTAGTTCTACCAATTCAATATAATTTATGAACTATATAGGAGCATGCTGAAGAAGAACCAGGATACTGCTGGCAAGTGCATTTGTGGTGTGTTGTAAAATATGCAAAATGTGCTTAAATAGTTCATGGTAATGTGGTATGTAACAAGTTTGATACGTTTCCAGAGGCAGTCACTTCTTTTCCTCTGCTAATTGTGTGGCATCATGTCTTTCCAGTTAAGCAGACGGCATACACTGCACAAGAGGTGGGATTGAATCAAAACTCCACGGTTCTCATTAATGTGAACCTGGCATGATTATATTTAGTGCTATCCACTTTCTGAGCAAATAATTTAAACACTTGATTTCTGGAGCAGGCAGAAACTGTTGCGTCCTTCAGATATTCCTTTTTAAGAAAACAGTAATGTTGGAATTGGAAGATCGCTTGTCATGAGACATCAAATTGTAGCACGGATCAATATAAAATAGTACACTCAATGGTTTTAAAACTAAGGGCTATTTAAAAGGTGGGAACATC